TCAAAATGTTAATATTTTAGTCATAAAATAGCAGAAACAATTTTAAGAGTTATTCAAAAGAAACTCGACAATTAAAAACTGAATTAAGGAAAAAGGGAAGGAGGGAGAGATGTAGAGTTTGCTGCTTTCTGCTTCAAAGCTAGCTTCAAAAGGCTTTAAATTAGTTTCGAGGTTCGTCAATAGATGACGCTGCTCACTATAAAATCTTTTTTAAATGTAAATAACTGCTTGTGGTATTCACGTATATTTTTATTTTTACGATTTCACTGGATATTAGTTGCTTAACAATATCCGATTTTTAAATCCGATTTTTCTCAGAATCAGCTTTCGTGGACAAAAACTCTTTTCTCCCCTTGGTCTCCAATTGTCTTAAAAATTGCAAAAGTTTACCTTTATTAGAAAACTTACGTAAAATATAAAATTAATTCTCTACGATTTAAGAATATTTCACACTTCTAAACAATAAATAAAGTCAACTTAATAATTAGTTGAGTAAGATATTGGGCAGAAATATAAGATAAATTAAGCACAATAAAGCCATTTAATAAATAGTCGATTTATAATTTTTTTATTAAAAAAAAAACAGTGATGAGGATTCTTATTTCTGTATTTCATATTTAGTTGTTATTTAGTTTATATTAATTTCATTGAAAATAACTAAACTGAAAGAAAATAATTAAAATGACTTGTATCAAAATAATGCAATTAATTTTATAAAAGGTAATGCAATTGGAAAATAAATTAATTTCTATTATTTATTATACTTACGGAAATAAATCATTGTAATATGGATTTAGTATTAAAGAAATACATTTAAGAAAATCTGCAGGCTCTATTTTTTAAATGATTAAAAACGAATCAAATTAAATATAAATATCTTATTTACGCCATTCAAAATAAATAATAATAATAATAATACATATTTTAAAATGTCTAAAAAATAAAAATTTTCGAGTCATAAGTTTGTTATCACCGAATTTTAGAATTCTAAAGTTATTTTTTGAAATAGTGTAAATTTATAGAAATTTTTAAGATTTAAAAATGTTTTTCTAAGTAAATATGTAAACCTTTATTTAACGTTTCTTTCTTCTCAAGATATTTTCTTGCTTACATATTTCCTTTTGTTTGCCTATTTATTCATTCATTATTAATTATTATCTTCTCTTAATGTGTAAATTGGAAGTTAATTTTTTTTTCTGTACTCTACCTGAACCAAATAATTGCTTAGTGAAAGGAAAAAAAAAATCCGAATTGGAAAAAAAAATTTCTAAATCTACAAAAGTATAATCTTTTTAATATAAAACCAAAATTATTATAAAAAAAGGTAAAAGGAAAAAATTTAAATAAAGTAAAAAAAATTAAACTAAATAAATAATGTGATAGATAATAGTGCTGCCATCTATCACAATTATTATAAACCTCTTATTCTTAATCCTTTCATCATTTTTTTCTTTTTTTACTGTATCAGTAAATGTAATTTTTCTTTTTTTTTTGTTGATATTTTAAAAATCAAATTTTCAAGAATCGAATAAATATTTTTACTCTGCACTATGTTTTGTGTATACACACATGTATCTACGTAAAATATGTCTAATTTTTTTTTTTTTTNTGTTTTTTTTTTTTTTTAATGTTATGACTTCATATTTTCAAAGAAATGTGATTATGTAAATTGAAAATGAAGTACGTGTACCGCTTTATTTAATTATTTTATGATTCATCATTAATTAGATGAAAATTTTAGAAGCAAAAAAAATTTTCAGCTGGTTTTGAATCCAATTTTTATTCTTTAACAAGAATAAATATTGGATTCAAAACCAGCTTAAATTTTTTTATATTGGATTCAAATATTGTATTCAAAACCAGCTTAAATAAATGAAAATAAATAAATAAATAAAAATAAATAGAAACATATAAATAACTTTATATGTTTCTATTTATTTTTATTTATTTATTTATTTTCATTTATTTATTTTATTTATTTATTTATTTATTTATTTATTTATTTATTTATTTTTATTTATTTATTTATTTATTTATTTATTTAATTTTATTTATTTATTTAATTATTTTTATTTATTTACTCTTTTTGGAAGAGAAGTAAAGTATGAAATGTAGTGTAATTAATATATAAAATTAAAAGACAGTGAAAGCGAAATTGCTTTTTTTAATTTATGAGCTCTTTACGTTTTATCGAGAATTCAATCATACAATCATTTATTTATTATTTTTATCATACGGAGTCAATATTCCAAAAACGATTTTTCTTAATGCAAATAAATATATAATTTCATTAAAATTACCTCCAGTCAAAAAAAAAAAATCACTTTGATTTTTATTCCAGTAAAACTATAGTCATTTTGCAAATCAATCCTATGGTTACAGTATTCGTAAATAAATTAATATTCCGAGCACCACTACCCATTGCCATACCACAAATCCTTTAATGATATCCATATCCATGTCCGTGACCCAAACCTAATCCATGACCTAGGCCGTGTCCATGAGCTAATCCTAAATCATGTCCATATCCATGTGATAGTCCATATCCATGAGCATGACCCAAACCATGATCCAATCCGTATCCGTGGTGTCCATGTCCATAACCGATGCCGTGGCCATATTTAAGTCCATGAGGGTGAGCGTAACCATGGTGTCTGACATCATGTCTTGTGCTGACTCCGTGACCACCATGTCCATGCCCATAGCCATGGTGAGATGGATGGTGATGAATAACTAAAGAATGGCCATTTGGCAAAGCCATCGCTGCAGCGACGCACAAAGCTAAGATAATTACCTATAATAATACAATGTAATTTCAAATTAGAAATACAATTATTTTGAATTATGATTCATACTTTTTGTATAAAAATGTGATTCTCAACTTAAATTTATTTAAATTTTTATTTTTTTAAACTATATTTATATGCATTATATATATATATATATGTATATATGCATTATATATATATATATGTATATATGCATTATATATATATATATNCAACGCCCCCTATAGTTCGTTGCGATCGCGAATTGACATTTGCATTCTGCTGTCTAGAAAGGAACAGTCGGGATTTTCTTTTTATTGTCAAGAAAATGTTTGCACTAAAAACCCTGAAGCACTATTTACCATAGACTGATTTTTTTCCCCAGGTTGGAATTAAACGTGTCAGATATAATAAAAAATTTAATTACCACTGAAATCAAATTTTGCAATTTAACTTTAAAATTAAAAATAAGATATAAGAAGTATTAACGTTTTAAAATTCATAGCGTTCTAGCACTCATCAAAACATCATTTAACTAATAGGGGATCGAATGTTAAATCTTTACCATAGACGGAATCTTTACCATTCGGTTGGAATTAAACATGTCAGACATAACAGAAAATTCAATTTCTATTTAAATTAAAATCTGAAGCGTTATTTAAAAACTAAACGTATAAAATTATTACAAAATTTATATTACACTAACACTTAAAATTTAAATACCACTTAAATCAAATTTTACAATTTAACTTTAAAATTAAAAATGTAAAAAGTTATTTAACATTTTAAATTCATAGCGTTCTAGCACTCATTAAAACATATAATAGATTGTTAAATATTAACCACAGACTGCATTATTTTCGGTTGGAATTAAACGTATCAGATATAATAAAAAATTTAATTATCATTTAAATTAAATTTTACAATTTAACTTTAAAATTAAAAATATAAAAAGTTATTTAACATTTTAAAATTCATAGCGCGCTAGCACTCACCAAATCATAATATGGAATTATAGAATGTTAAATCTTTACCATAGACTTCATGGTGTTTCCTTGGTTCCAAAAGGATCAGATGTAACAACGAGAAAAGTTTGCGGAAATCGTTTTCCTTCCGAAGCTTTTATAGGGGTATTTATATCGTTGTCCTTATCTTCTAAACAATCGGGGTTAAGAAATTCTCGTACTTGAAAATACATTGTTAAAAATTCATTTAACATATTGCACTACTTTCACTAACACACTATGTGATGAATAATACACTATGTGATGAATACTTATATACTTGAAATCAATCAATAATTCTTTTAAATTAACAGACGAATAAATACGGACAAATGTTACTGTTTAAAATTACATTCATTTTGAAATTTTTAAAATGTATGAAAATATTAATTCAAAGAAGTAAAAAACCGTTTTCTATTTGAACAGTTAAAACGATATAATTACTTTTTTTTATTTTTCTTCTATTTATTATTTCTATATACTTCTTCTAATTGCGTCACACATTTTGTATGCTTAGATAAATTTTTCAAGTTCAGTAGTTTTTTTTAAATCCAAGTAATTGGTTATTTTGCTGTGATTTCCAAATTAACAAAATGTTCTTTATTTTTGTAAAAAATATAAACTTTTAGAAACAATGATGAAGGCGAAGCTATCACGGGGGTTGGTCCTAGTTTTGCATTAAGAAAAAATTTAATGATTAAAATGTTTGTTTTATGATATTGTTCAAATAAGTTGCACAAACTCAAATAAAAACTATTTTATTAGTTTGAATAACATGGTGAGATAAATAATTGATAGTTCATAAATAGTTCCTAATTAATGTTGATAATTTCATTGTAATAATTTTAGATACCAAGAGCAAGTATAAATTGGTGAATGAATTAGAAATTACAAGAATCAATTCACTGTTTCAGAAAGGGAATTTTATATCAGGATAGTACGTAGATTGTTGAATGTCCGATCCCGTGTAAAATCAGCTTTATTTGATGTACTTTTCTGAGATTCTAGTGATTCCTAATTTTTTTTTTTGGGGGGGAGGGAGCTTCGTGCACTAAATGATCAAACTTCATTGAGTTGCCCATTTCAAATTCTTATATAAAATGTATAATTCCAATTTCCAAAAAGAATCTGTGACATCGTTAAATTTTTTATTTATTTTTGAATGAGAAAAAATTTGTTCCGTCACATTAAAAAATTTGTCTAAAAGGTGTAGATAAGAAAAAAAGAATTCCATTAGAATATTCTGGTGCATGTTTTGGATTTACGTTCGTAGAACAACTTCAATCCACATTCAGGATCACTATTTGTCATGCCGTGTTCGTTCGGCAGTCCTTCGGGTGAATCGCTTGGATTGCATGCTTCTCCTTCCACTGTAAAAGAATAAAAATTACTTAAGAACGCCCAAAAAATAATTTTCCCTAACCTATAGTTTACCTACTGTAAAAACTCCTCTAAGAAGCGAAAATTTCACGGAAATCGCTTTACTTCTGGTGCTAGTAGTAATGAGATTGATAGCACATCGGCTGATGCTAAAGTTGATTCTGCCAATGCCAAAAAGTTAAGATCTGGCTATGAAGAAGTAAAAAATTCTTTTAAAGATAAACGTGAATCTTTAGAAGGTAATAGAATTGTCAGTTTGGCAAATTTAATTGCTATATTTTCCATGGTATGTTCCCCTGACTGTTTCTCTCTTGGATTAGAACTGGTAGAAGACTCTAACACAGGGTTATGCTCAAATATGACCATTAAATGCCAACAATGTCCTTTTTTGAAAGCATTTTCAACAACAGAGAAACAAAAAAATTCTTGCTGTATTAATTCATCAATTGTTTTATGGCTACGTTTAATCGGGAAAGGATTTTCAGCTGGAAGAAAGTTATGTGCTTTCCACTGTTTACCCTTTCTAGCAAAGGGTACTTTTCGAAAGCAAGAAAAAAAAACTGTTGAAAATTGTTGAACACTGTGCAGAAGTTAACATGAAATCTGCTTTAGATGAAGTTAAGAGTTCACGAGATTTTGCTAAATGTGGAATATCTGTCGAACGCAGAGGATACTCATCATTAAATGGATGTGTTAGTGCTATTTCCATCGACACTGGTAAAATTTTAGATGTTGAAGTCATGTCACAGTACTGCCGTATATGCTCAAAAGGTAACAAGTCATCAGAGCATATCTGTGCAAACTATAAAGGTTCAGCTGGTAATATGGAAGTTGTTGGTGCTTATCGCATCTTTGAACGGTCAAATGCAAAAAATGTGCAATATAGTGAATACTACGGTGACGGAGACTCGAAAGGGTATGACAGCGCAAAAAACTTTTATGGTGATAATTCAGTAATGAAACTAGAATGTATTGGACATGTCCAAAAACGTGTAGGTGGAAGTTTGCGTAAATTGAAGAAAAAGGTGAAAGGTATAGGAGGNTAAAATTACATTCATTTTGAAATTTTTAAAATGTATGAAAATATTAATTCGAAGAAGTAAAAAACCGTTTTCTATTTGAACAGTTAAAATAATATAATTACTTTTTTTTTTTATTCTTCTTCTATTTATTATTTCTATTTACTTCTTCTAATTGCGTCACACATTTTGCATGCTTAGATAAATTTTTCAAGTTCAGTAGGTTTTTTTTAAATCCAAGTAATTGTTTATTTTGCTGCGATTTCCAAATTAACAAAATGTTCTTTATTTTTGTAAAAAATATAAACTTTTAGAAACAATGATGAAGGCGAAGCTATCACGGGGGTTGGTCCTAGTTTTGCATTAAGGAAAAATTTAATGATTAAAATGTTTGCTTTATGATATTGTTCAAATAAATTGCACAAACTCAAATAAAAACTATTTTATTAGTTTGAATAACATGGTGAGATAAATAATTGATAGTTCATAAATAGCTCCTAATTAATGTTGATAATTTCATTGTAATAATTTTAGATACCAAGAGCAAGTATAAATTGGTGAATGAATTAGAAATTACAAGAATCAATTCACTGTTTCAGAAAGGGAATTTTATATCAGGATAGTACGTAGATTGTTGCATGTCCGATCCCGTGTAAAATCAGCTTTATTTGATGTACTTTTCTGAGATTCTAGTGATTCCTAATTTTTTTTTCGGGGGGGGAGGGAGCTTCGTGCACTAAATGATCAAACTTCATTGAGTTGCCCATTTCAAATTCTTATATAAAATGTATAATTCCGATTTCCGAAAAAATCTGTGACATCCTTAAATTTTTTATTTATTTTTGCATGAGAAAAAATTTGCTCCGTCACATTAAAAAATTTGTCTAAAAGGTGTAGATAAGAATAAAAGAATTCCATTAGAATATTCTGGTGCATGTTTTGGATTTACGTTCGCAGAACAAATTCAATCCACATTCAGGATCACTATTTGTCATGCCGTGTTCGTTCGGCAGTCCTCGCTTGGATTGCATGCTTCTCCTTCCACTGTAAAAGAATAAAGATTACTTAAGAACGCCCAAAAAATAATTTTCCCTAACCTATAGTTTGCCTACGGTAAAAACTCCTCTAAGAAGCGAAAATTTCACGGAAATCGCTTTACTTCTGGTGCTAGTAGTAATGAGATTGCTAACACATCGGCTGATGCTAAAGTTGGTTCTGCCAGTGCCAAAAAGTTAAAATCTGGCTATGAAGAAGTAAAAAATACTTTTAAAGATAAACGTGAATCTTTAGAAGGTAATAGAATTGTCAGTTTGGCAAATTTAATTGCTATATTTTCCATGGTATGTTCCCCTGACTGTTTCTCTCTTGGATTAGAACTGGTAGAAGACTCTATCACAGGGTTATGCTCAAATATGACCATTAAATGCGAGCATTGTCCTTTTTTGAAAGCATTTTCAACAACAGGGAAACAAAAAAATTCTTGCTGTATTAATTCATCAATTGTTTTAGGGCTACGTTTAATCGGGAAAGGATTTTCAGCTGGAAGAAAGTTATGAGCTTTCCTCTGTTTACCCTTTCCAGCAAAGGGTGCTTTTCGAAAGCAAGAAGAAAAAAAAACTGTTGAAAATTGTTGAACACTGTGCAGAAGTTAACATGAAATCTGCTTTAGATGAAGTTAAGAGTTCCTGAGATGTTGCTAAATGTGGAATATCTTTCGATGGGACATGGCAACGCAGAGGATACTCATCATCAAATGGATGTGTTAGTGCTATTTCCATCGACACTGGTAAAATTTTAGATGTTGAAGTCATGTCACGGTACTGCCGTATATGCTCAAAAGGTAACAAGTCATCAGAGCATATCTGTGCAAACTATAAAGGTTCAGCTGGTAATATGGAAGTTGTTGGTGCTTATCGCATCTTTGAACGGTCAAATGCAAAAAATGTGCAATATAGTGAATATTACGGTGACGGAGACTCGAAAGGGTATGACAGCGCAAAAAAACTTTTAGGGTGATAATTCAGTAATGAAACTAGAATGTATTGGACATGTCCAAAAACGTGTAGGTGGAAGTTTGCGTAAATTGAAGAAAAAGGTGAAAGGTATAGGAGGCAAAGGTAAATTAACTGATAAATTGATAGACAAAATCCAAAATTATTACGGTATTGCTGTAAGAAGTAATGCAGGTAATCTACAAAACATGATAAGTGGTGTAATAGCTGCATTTTATCATAGTGTGTCTGGCAAGGATAATCATTATCATGGACAATGCCCCGAAGGTGTTGAAAGTTGGTGTCGTTTTCAAAGAGCAAAAGCAAT